AAGTTCCTTTCTAGTAAATTGATTGTATAGAAACAGATAGAAACAATAGATATGTGCATCTGCAGCCAAGAAGGCCATCCACTGCATCAAAAGAAGTGTGGCCAGCGGGGTGAGGGAAGTGATTCTGCCCCTCTACTCTGCTCTGGTGAGACCTCATGTGGGGTACTGCATCCAGCTTTGGAGTCACCGACACAAAAAGGACATTGAAGTGCTAGAGTCGGGCCAGAGGAGGGCCACAAAGATTGAGGGCTAGAGCACCTCTCCTACGAAGACAGGCTGAGAGAGTTGGGATTGTTCAGCCTGGAGAATAGAAGGCTCTGGAGGGACCCTATAGTGACCTTCCAATACCTGAAAGGTACCTATAAGAAATCTGGGGAAGAGCTGTTCACTAGGGCATGTAGCAATAGGACAAGGGGTAATGGTTTTAAACTAGAAAAGGGTAGATTTAGGTTGGATATTAGGAAAAAGTTTTTCAATATGAGGATGGTAGATCACTGGATCAGGTTGCCCAGAGAGGTGGTGGAGGCCCCAACCTTGGAGATATTCAAGGTCAGGCTTGATGGGGCTCTGAGCAACCTGATCTGGTAACACTGCTTACTGCAGTGGAGTTGGACTAGATGATCTTTAAAGGTCCTTTCCAACCCAATACATTCCATGATTTTATGATTCTATGAAAATGTTTTAGTATATAACATATGTGCGTGTGTGTGTGCGTGCGTGTGTGCGTGCGTGTGTGTGTGTATCTCCATACTTTCATGGTCTTGCCTGGCAAAGAACCATTGCTAATATGCTTTCAGATCAAGGTCCATCAATGTGGGTTTTTTACCCTGTTTTCCTATTGTTTAAATCATGGATTTAGGTTATTATCTGCCAACATTTACTGTCTGAAGCTTTACTTTAGGTCCCAGGGGAAATTCTGCAACCCCGTTTTGGGTGGTGCCATGTAGTGTCTGTGCAGCCCTGGGGTGAGAGCTGCCCTGGATGGTGGCCACTGACATGTCACTGGTTACAGGTCACAAGCGTTTGAGTGCTGTTCACACTCCTGCCAAGTGGAAGAGGCTGAGTATGTACCTCAGCTTCTGGAGGTTTAATTTATACTGGAGACAAAATCCAGTAACTTCTGGGGACTTTTTAAAAACACTTGGAACAGTCCAAATAATAACCTAAAGCTCACACCATAAAAGTCGCTGAGCCTAACATGGAAATAGATTCTTGCAGAAGATTTTTCTGTCTTTCCTTAATGCAAAGATTTGAAAGGAGGGAGAAGTATCACAGATAGGCCATTCCTTTCAGAGGGATTTCTTTATATATCTTCATGTGAAAGCTGCTGGTAAGGGAAGAAAAAATAAAGTAATGCTCTGAAATAAAATTTGTACAGATGTAGCTTTTTTTTTGAAATGACATCCCGTTTCTCCAGAATTCGATGTAGCCTTTAGTCAGCCTTGTTTCTTACAGTTCTCTGTGCTTTGCATGGTAATTAGCTGCTTGTGTTATCAGCGGTGACGATGCTCCCGGCTATTTCTTCAGCAGCCACTGCTGTTATCCTCGGCGGCAGCTCCTCGCATCCTCCTGCCAGACTGTGCATCTGCAAACGCCTGGCGTTCTTCAGGCTGCGCTGACAGAGGGACTAAAGCAGCGGGCACAGCATTGGAGAGCAAAGAGGCTGGAGCCCTCTTCCTTCGACAGCTGAAAAAGACTTGCCAGTCTTTTTTGCTGATGGTTCATTGGAGGTTCAGTGAGGCGAGCATGTTATGACAGATCACAAAATGCAAAGGGAGGCAAATAAGCTGGGTTCATCAATGTCAGGATAAATACAGGGTGGCAGCTCCTTGGTTTGATTGGGAACAGCAGCCTCTAAACCTTTATTTTGTTTTAATTTTTCTTTTTTAAGTAATTAAAACATTTATTGCATAAGCTTTCTGTGGCATACAGGCTATGGAGAGGGTGTAGGGACTGCTTTGCACAGATTGCTGGCACATCTGACATCAGTCTTACGCAGGTGCTGTGTCACACAGCCAGCACTGATGCAACAGTGTTTGGATCAGGCAAATCTACTGATGCACATAGTGTGTCAAGTGCTCTGTGCTATTAGTTGTTTGCAGGCAATGCAATCTCTTTTTTTTAAATTCAAATTTCAAGAAATATTACCAGTTTGGGTTTTTTTAAAAAAACTCAAATATGGCCATAAAGTTAAATTCAGGTTGCCAGAGTCACAGGCATTGAGTGTTCCTCTGTAACATGAGCAGAAATGGAGAAGGAAGCAAAAGAATAAGAATGGGGAGTCTTTTCCATACCAATACCTACAGATGCTTTTCAGACATACTTTAGGTCCCACAGTAACACTCTGCATTGTATTATATGATATCACAAAAAAACCCATATATGGCCCCAGACCTTATGAAATTGAAGTTGCTTGCTGTGTGCAGAGCATGATTTCTTATCTTCCCCACCTTTATTCTAGAAAGTTTGATATCAACAGTAATGTAAGAGCCTTACAAGTATTCAAACCAAAATAAATTAAGAAATTTATATTTGGCATGCAAAAGATGAAGAATAAAGAGGAAAATACGATGTGCTAGAGACAGTAACTATGGTTTTAGTTCTTTGGTAATGGAAAGTTTAATTTCTTGCCAATGAGTATTTGCAGACTTACTTCATTACACTTCTAGGAGGGATATTTAATTTTGTAACAGAAGCTTGTTTCTAAACCTACTCTTAAATAGCCTATTGCCAAATTTACCTTCAGTAGTTTTGTCTTCACACAAAAATGAAGAGCATCATTTTTTTCACCATTCAATGTATTGTATACAGCATAAGGTGGTAGGTCATCTCATCCCTCCTTCCATAAGATGACAGTGGACTAGAATAGCAAACTTGGGGTCAGGCAGTAAATTCATTGCTCTGAAAACAAGACATTCACAATGAGCGCTTTATCCTCTCTACTGTTGCTAACAGGATAGTAAGACATGGACCAGGGTTTGGGGAAGGAAAGGGAGAAAATGTAGAGAAACAGAGAGAGAAGAGAGGAATAAAATAGGCATTTTAAAATTCTTAAATATCCAGAGATTGTTGTGGTGTTTCTGTCTGCCCTGTTAACTTCATTGACAGCATGAACTACTGCACTTGCACTCCTGCTCCAGCATCAGGAGAGGTCACACGTGGCATTGTGTAGCTCCTTGGGGGCAGGGTTGAGCTCAGAACAGAGCTGTCTGCACAGGACTGCAGCTTCTCTTCAGCATCACTGTATCACATATGAGTAATTCTCCAAAGGTTGGCTTTATAGCATCATGCTCAATTCTTTTTCCTTTGAAATCAGCAGTGTAACTCCTAGTGACTGTAAAGCTGACTGACTGAGCCTCACCAAAAAGAGTTAATGCAATTCGTTTGTTTCACAATCAAGGGCCATATTCAGCGAAGATTTAGCAGGAGTGTTGACAATAAAGCACTTACGACTTTCTGTGAATTGGCATGAAATAACAGCCACAAAAAAGGATGAAACATAAATTGTCCCCTTGCATATGCATGGCTGCTGTACTTCTGACCTTGGTTGCAGCTGTTAGGCTACAAGTGGCTGCAGACCCAGATTTCCTCAGTCACTCAGCTCAGGTCGGGGAGCGGTGGCGATCGTGTCCAGGACTTGCACAAACTGGCTAGTGGTATCATATGACTCTGGTAGGCTCAGAGGTATCCATTTTGGAAACTCCTTCATGATTTTTTGAGTGCCCAAATGCAGATGCGGTAGAGGAGTCTGATTTCCAGGTGACAAGAGCTCAGCTCTTTGGAGAAGCGAATTGCTTTGATACTTCTCTAGGTGAGCATCTGAAAACTCAGAACGTCCAGGTGCTTTTTGAAAACCAGAGGTGAAGACCAAGTTCACTTCCCTGCTAGCTCTTTGGGGCTAATTAATTGTAATTGGTTTTGTTTCCATGCCACCTTCCCACATGGGAAGACCACAAGCCCCAGTCTCCTGCTTCCTGAGTTAGTTCTATTCTGTGAAAGGAGGAAAACCTTTCTTTGGGGAATTGTCAGGGAATTTAGCGTGGTGAAGTAAATGCCCAGAAAACATGCTTGATGCAGCAGCCACCTATATCTTGTGGAGAGCTGTAGGAGATGAGGACCCCTCAGCATCAGTACCTCCATCCGTGGTGTGCCATCTCCTCCCAGTTATGTTGGGCAAGGGACAGGCCGGAAAGCTGGGAGCATAAATGTGGCAGACTGATGTCTCATGCTGCCTCATCTTTGCTGCAAAAGTTTGCGTCCCAGCGAACAATCAAGCTGAAGATGTAGGTGAGGTACTGGCTGGATGGTTCCTTATAGGGGAATATAGATTGGCTGCTCTGCCAAATCTCTGATTTCCCCTCTCCAGAATGGCTCTAAAGGAAGCTATACCATTCAGGAGACCGGAATGCCTCTGTGCCCTCGGTCTCACAATGTACGTGTGGATTTAGGATCAGTATTTTAGGAAATTATAGCCTTCTTAGGACTGCTGTGATGCCGAGCCCACGCTAAGTGTTGCCGCCTGTGTTGCAGCTCTCCCCTCAGCATCCCAGCTGCCTCTGCCCTATACATTGTCAGGCTCCACATAGGCAGTGGCACTGCATAGCCTTTCCTGCACAAAGGATGCAGAGAGATATGTATTTAATACGAATAAATGTACATATTGGATCTATGTACTTTTTGCTTGTGCTTACTCATATGCAGTATATCCAAAACAGCAGGAAATACACCCGAAAGTAGTGTAAACAAAATCCTATGAATTTATACAAATATTTTGCAATCATATGTAAACACTGCAAATATTTCATCTTCCTGTGGTGCTGATGGGGAATAATTTGAGAATTTTAAGCAATGCAACTTTTCAGATGCTGAAAAGACTTGACCTCATTTTGAAACTGTAATAGAGGTTGGGATAAATTTCGTGTGACAACCACATCCTCAAACCTGCTATTTGTTATTGCTTTTTAAAACACAAACAAACTGTTTTCTCATTTTGTTTACAGGACAGTGGAACAGGAGATAACAGCTGCATTGAAGAAATATTGCGGGTAGGAATGCTTAAAAAAAATTCTCTTCCAATGCCATTTTGTTTACTCCAAAAAGACAAGAGAACAACAAGAATATTGCAATTACTGCTGTTAAAAGTATTTTTCTCGTATATTGTCATCTTTCTAAGGCAAGAGTAGGCAAAATTATTTCCTCACGAAAAATAATTTTGAAAACAACCTTCCAGAGCCTCTGGATTTCACTGTTACTTTGTGCCAGTACGGCTGACCTTCATGCATACAGAAGCAGATAATGGGATAAATTATAAACTGAAATGTACAATGATGTTTCAGGTTTACAAACCATGCAAAGTGCATGTTTCCATTAATCACAACTGTCAAAAATCTTAATTTTGAAGGGAGGTCTAGGAAGGTCATTTTCCACCTGGATTTAATTAGAATCCATTATGTAATGTCATTATGTCCATTATGTCCATTATATAATGGCAACGTGCAAAATCCATCGTTATTTCCATATTTCATTATTATTTCTTTTCTCTTAGTAATTTCTAGTTTATTTTCATGGAGCAAATTAATACACATCCAGACAGATCTTGGCTTGAATCAACTTTGATATTGATTATTTTCTGAGGCAGACCAATTTATAAACAATGAAACATTTCCAGCTATTTTAACTCATGGTTTTTTCCAGTTCTTTTTCTAAACTGATAATTCAGTCATTCGCGCTGGTTATAAATCTGATATGATAGTGAGTGAAACACCAAACAAAGCAGATGGAATGATAAAACCTCCCTATTACTGTGTGTGCTTCCACCTCTTGGATACCCACTACACAAATATTTCAGATTGTTTATAAACTGTGGAGCTATAAATATTTGGTTTAGAGATTAGTAGTGCATTAAGCCTGTTGTTTCTAAAGGCATTTCTCCATTCTCCCTGAATATGTTAAATACAGCTTTTAATTCTTAAACTAGACAAAGAGTTTATCGAAGGGTGATGATGATGGATTGCCTATGACTTCACTGGCAGAGCTTTTACTTAGCTAACGTTTACAAAGTAGGCTTTTGTGGGACTGAACCGCATATTCAACAAGCCTAAGCCTCAGTCCCTGCTGTTTTGTTACAAATTAGTAGCAAAGAGTATAATTCATGAGAGCTTTTTACATTTTTCACGATGCACTAAGTATATGATGTGATGTGAGGCTCATTTGACCCTTTTTTATGCAAGGCTTTTAAAATGAACAGTCAAAGAAGCTGGTTTGCCTCCTTAGGTTGTGCAATTAGCCAAAAAATGTAGAAGAAACATGGTTGCTTCTGTGCAGAGGAACATGGGTATATGTAAGAGACCCCAGCTGAGAAGAAAAATGCAGTGTATGACTGGGGATGGTAAGGTGCATCTCCAAACAGGTGAATGCAGCTGCTGCTCTCTTTTGTTTTTGTCTTGGGAATGTTCCTCGAGAAATATTTTTGCAAAGCTTCATGATGAAGTCTTCAGGACATCCTTGGGTGGGTAGGGCCGTTTTGTTCATTGTAATTTATTGACAAATTCTTTCACTTTGCTTAAAAACTGAATAAAACAACCCACAGCTCAAAAGCCACACTTCACATCAGTGTCTCGCTATCTGCTGAGGCTTAGCATGGCAGAGAGCACACCATTTTAATTCGCTAGCTCTTGCCCTCATATGAATACTCAGTCATCATAAGTAGCATCTCCAATCTGCCCATCCTCCAGGTCTGCACAGGGTATCACTTTCTACTCTGAACTTCCCTTGTGTGCCTGTGTCTAAGACTATACATAAACCTTGTCAAGTGTTATGCTGTAGCATTTATAGCAGACACTCTTTATTCACAAATGCGTACATCTCAGGTCCAAATTCTCATTACACACCCTGATTGCTGCAACCTCCTTTCCTCAGTTTTGACAAATGCAGTGTTACCCACCTCCATGCTGCCACACAGGTCATTTTCCTAGCTTGACGTCTTCCCCAAAGACATTTGTCTTTACATATCACCACTGTCATCTCCTTCTGTATCTTATCAAGTAGAGACATTTGTCTCTGATTTTAAAGCCTCAAGTCTACCAATCTGTCCTGACATGTTAGCTCCCACTTTAGCTTACCTGAAGATGCCAGCCTCTGTCACCCTGTTGCTTACTTTTATATTAATTAATTTCTCCCATGCTTCCCATCAGATCTCGGAACAGCCTTGAACACTCTCCCAGTTAGCTCCATACCTACCTTTGGATCATCTCATTAGAGCCTCCTTTTTCACAGTGGTGAGGTCAGGGCTATACCATTGTTTCTCATGCTTTTATCATTGTTGTCCCACTTGTCCCTGGTCAGGCCAGATCTATCCCTCTGCTCTGTTTTGTCCTAAAAAGTGAACTTTCTGTATCAGGGAAATGCTGTGTAGTACAGAAGCAGTGCTTAGGTACTCTCACAGTACAAACTGTATCAGCAGTGGTTGCTCTTACTGATAATTAATGAAAGCAGAAAAAGTAATAGTGTGCCATTGCTACTCTCTTTGTAAATTACTGGCATGCAGACTTTTCCAGCCCTCTCCGTGACTTCTTTTTGGGCTGAACAGATCAATTCAGTTTTAACACAGATTTCCTGGTTTTCTGAAACAGACTATTTGTAAGGAATGCCATTTCCAATTTTTGTTGGAGGTGCTATTTACATAGCAAAGCCAAAGTTTAGCTTCTTTTTGGGTAGCATATATGCAGTTCCTGTATAGGTGCCCAGAGGTGGGCAATTAAAAGCCACAGGAGCTGAAATCCTTGTGTTCTCTTCAGAAAAGATGGCTCTTTGCTACCACATTGAAATGTATTTATTGTAGGAAGGACCACTCTACTGTACAGAGCATCGGCAAAAGGAACAAGATGCTTAATTTTTTTTAAGGAGCATTGCACCCTGTTTTAGCTGTCTCTTGCATAACACAAAGCAGAAAACATCCTCTCCTTGTAGACGGTGTGTTCCCTGCGCTCATCAGGCTGTGACTTTTCCAAGGGATAGGTACATCCATGGCATGTCCGTGTTTCCCTGGTCAAGACCAAGGGCAGTATGAAGAGTGCCCCGAGTCTGATCCATCTGCTTTCCTCAGTTTCCTTTCCCCAGCAGGTAAGAGGCAAGTGCTGGTTTGTGTGCAGGTCTTGTCACCCTCTGATATCAGGACATGGCCAGAGACAACATCTGGACCTGGGCAACAAGATCAGTTGAGGCATAGCTTTAAAATCACCAAATCTTATTTTGCACTGTCTGTGACAGGAATTTGTAGTCTCTGTGCTGTCTGGTGCAGCGCAGGGTGCCGCAGCTTAAGTCTAGCCTTTTTTAGATGTTGTTTTACCAAACGTATCAGAGCTCTGTAGACTTTGTAAACTGACAGATCATTCTGCACGAAACTGCAGCTTCCAAAGAAAGCCCCGAAGAACTGAGACGCAGAACCGCTTCCAGTCCTGAAGGAGGTTGATTAACAAGACAGTAACCCTGTTGAGATCGGAGATGTTGTAAGGACTCCTGCTGAGTTTATAATCACTGCAGGAATCCTGAACCTCATCTAACCCCATGCACCAGTTTACAGCAACTTCTTCAAAGTGTAGCAACTTCTCTGTCCAGCTGCAGTGCAGGCGCACATGTCAAGTATAGAGAAACTTCTGAGAGAGCCTTTGGTGTAAATAGCTCCAGTAAGACAAAGTTACAGATGTAATGGCAAACCAAGAGAGAAAATCCTCATTACATGACTGTAGCTATAAAAGGCAATTACTTGTAAGCTTTTGCATCGTCGGTGGAGGACATGGTAGAAAACTTCGAAGTGGAAAATAAGAGTTAAGGTTACACAAATATCTTTTATTCCATCATGCTCAGATCAGTTGCTACCTGAGTTCCTGAGACACCACCAAAGCCCACCTATTCACTTGCTTGCTAGAACATACGCTTGCTAAGCAAGATTAGTAATTTTGGCTGATTTCTATATGATTTTATTAGTATGTGGTACTGTGTATTTTGTTATGACTAATGGGATTTTGAGTTAACGTTTATTTTGCTGTGGTACATGTGCAAAATGGGAGCAGCAAGAGTCCTGCCTCTCCACTAAGTCAACTGTTGCAACCACTACACTCTATTTGCTGTGTATTTAAGGAGAAAGGGAGTGTGTCAGATGCAGACGGTTCTTGGTTTGTAAGATAAGTGGTTGAAAATTGATCTGGCTAATCTTACAGCCTTAGCTGTGATTTCCTACAGTTGCGGTGGATTTGTTGAAAGGAAACCCACAGGCAAGCTGAGCTTTTAATTATTGAAGACGTTCATTATGAATTCCCTTTTTGTGTGTGTGTTGTTGACATGAGAGGTGGTGTTGAGCTGGGGGGGGAGACGGACGTAGTTCGAGTGTTTGGCCTGTTAACAGTGTTTGGCTGCGGGATGCAGAAACAGTAGGAAGCTGATGGAGCAACAGCAATGCAGAGAAAGGGCTGGAGGAAAACCAAGTACGGAAGAAGCCACCTCCCTTGGGGTGCTGTGGAGCAGTGGGGGGGCACGATGGGGTATGGGTTGGTGGACAGATACGTTTATTTCAGGGAAGACAGAAAAAACAGTTGGGGAGGCAGTGAAAGGCCTGAGACTCGAGCTGCCAACATTCCTCCCAGTGAAGGGCAGCTCTGCTTGGTGCCATGAGCCTTGTGCTCGGGGTGAGCACCCGCAGGTGCCCTTGAAAATAGGTCATGACTCCCCGTGACCACAGGGCATCCACTTATGAAAACATGGCATTTTAAGTGGGATGGCTTTGATGAGTAATTTACTTGAAATTCTCTACCCTGTGAAACTAATCAGAGTATGTAAAGTGAAGTACTTCTTATTTGAGCAATGTAAAATCTGAATGAAAACAGAATCTAATTCTGTATTTTTCCCACTACCCACTTGGGATCCCTTGGCTCATTAGCAAGTTTGCTAATTCTTTAGCAGAAAGCACTAAGGATCAACCCATCAAATATTCAGGGTTTTTTTTCCAAACCTGAACAGCCATATGTGCCGTGAGATCAGCTGCACTCCA